AGCCAGGACTCCTGGGTTCTCTCCCCGGCTCTGTGGTTTGCCCCAGCAATGATGCAGTAAGATACAGCAATGCCCAGGAATCCTGGGGACTGCTAAAGAGACATGTGGTGCCCCTCACTCCTGACCCGCAGCCCCCAGCTCCTCTCTTTCGCTCGCCCCTCCCCCTGCCGCTGGCCCGCGATGGAAGCTGCCATGGGGCTCTTGGGAAGAATTACGGGCTGAACAGACGTTTGCATCCTGGGCAGCCAGGAAATATCCACCCATTGCAGATGGCACCAGCCGTGCCAGGCCCGGCCTCCCGCCCACGAGTCCCCCCGCTCCAGCGCTGAGCCCTCCCCTCCCCTCCCAGAGCCGGGGAGAACCCAGGAGTCCTGGCTCCCAGCCCCCCCTGCTCTAACCACCAGACCCCACTCCCCTCCCAGAGCCGGGGAGAGAACCCAGGAGTCCTGGCTCCCAGCCCCCCCTCCTCTAACCACCAGCCCCCCCTCCCCTCCCAGAGCCGGGGAGAGAACCCAGGAGTCCTGGCTCCCAGCCCCCACCACCCAGGGACACACACACAATCCTCAGGTCACCATACAAACTGTCCTTCCCTTACTTCCCACCAGGGGGTGCCATGGGGGGGTCACTATTACACAAGGGTGTGGCGAAGAGATGCATTGTGGGTAAGGCGGAGGGCAGGAGGAGGAGGGGGGCAGTTTGGGCTCTGGGCTAGGTGGGATGGCTGGAGGTTCACACTGCAATGATGAAGGAAGGAAAGCGTCATTCTCCCCCATCACTAGGTTCAAGTGTTAACAGCCCCGATTGCGTGTCGGGTCCCACCACATCAATGGGGGCTTGGAGGAGATGTGCCTTCATGGTGAAGGGAATGGGGCGGTGCCAGGACTCCTGGGTTCTCTCCCCAGCTCTGGGAGGGGAGTGGGGTCTAGTGGGTTAGAGCAGGGGGATTGGGAGCCCGGACGCCTGGGTTCCATTCGTGGCCATGAGCCAGGGCCATCTGGGCCAAGCCCCCCTGGGTTGAGTCCGTTCTGCCTCCATAACTGTTGCCGGCAGTTTCTATGAAACAGGCTTCTCCTTCCTGTCCCAATCCATCGTGTGGCGTTATGTGCCGTGGTTCCCCGACTGCTCCGCCCCAGAGCTGGCTGCATCTCCGCATCCGGCGAGCTGTCCCCATGCGGCGTTATGTGCGGCGGGTCCCCAGCTGCCCCGCCCCAGAAGAGGCTGCATCGAACGCCCATCTGTGTCTGGGGACATGGCAGCTCCACGTTTTCTCCCTCCAGCCCCCGCCCGCCCGCCCGCCGCGCCCCACGCCGAGGCCTCAGTGGCTGCCCGGGTGTTTTGCTCTGCAGCAGAGCAGGCACGTGGCGTGTAACCGAGGCAGGGCCCTGCCGCAGCTCCACGGGAGGATGAATTATTTATCCACAGAGCGCGGGAGGCAGAGACAGCCGCTTTCCACAGCTCGCGGGGGCTGGGGGGCAGGGCTGGCAGGGGGCTGCGGGTCGGGAGTGAGGGGCACCGGCAGAGCCCGGGGCTGGGATCGGATCCAGGTGACCTGCCTTGGGCTCGTCCTGAGGCCGGGGGAGATTCCGCTGAATCGGCAACTTGCTCGGTGATCGCTGGGCTGGCAGGTGGGCGGCTGGGCCGGGGGGCTGGGAGCCAGGACTCCTGGGTTCTCTCCCCGGCTCTGGGAGGGGAGTGGGGGGCTAGTGGTTAGAGCAGGGGGGGCTGGGAGTCAGGACTCCTGGGTTCTCTCCTCAGCTCTGGGAGGGGAGTGAGGTGTGGTGGTTAGAGCGGGCGGGGGGGGCTGGGAGCCACCCCCCCATTTCTGTGCATCTCAGGCCCCAGGTGGCTCCCATCCCCCCCCCAGTGTGGTGTCTCCCCCCACCCCCGGATCAGCCCCAGGGCCACCCCCACATGCCGCAGCGCAAGGTTACAGCAACCTCTCGCCAGCCAAGCGGACCCGCTCCGCGCTGGTACCTGGGGACGTGTGAATATTTCATGTTCTCCGTAGTTACACACGGAGCCGGCCTAGAGCCGGGGGTTGGCTCCTGATTCCTCCCCCACTCCAGAATCCCACCCCCGGCACAGAACACAAAATCCCCTTCCTGCCCCCCGGGCATCGCCCTTGTCCTGGGGTCTGCACTGAGCCACTAGGGGGCGCCGTGCTGCGGGGAGCGGGGCGGGGTCTGGGCGGGGGTCTCTCTCCCCTGGCAGTCGGGGCTGGGTGCTGGGGGGTGCTGTGGGGCGGGGGTCTCAGCAGGGGGATCCCAGTGTCCTGGCCAGTTAGAACAAGCCACCACCCAGCTAAAATTCCCTGGAATTCCCACTTAATATCAAATTCTTCTGTATTTGTTTGGCAGCTGGGCCCAGCTGATCTGCCCCAGAGGTGGCCGCATCGCTGCGCCTGGCGAGCCGTCCCCTTGCAGCGTTGTGTGCGGCTGGTCCCCAGCTGCCGTGCCCCAGAGGTGGCCGCATCTCCAAGCCTTGTGTTACCCGTAACGGGGAAGCTGTCGCCGTTCTCTGGCCGCGCTCTGAGCCGTTGATTGATTCCTCAGCCCGTTAAATAAGTCATGGTGTTGTGGCGCGTATTTTATGATATTATCGCCGCTCGCCTGACGTGGATTAACAGCGTTTCTCCAGAAGCGATTTCGCTTTCCCAAGCGCTCCATTACTGATTGCAACACTTCTGCCGTCTGTTATCCTCATGCGGCGTTATGGGTGGCTGTTCCCCAGCCACCCTGCCCCAGAGGCGGCTGCATCTCAGCGTCTCCCCCACCCTGCTGGGGAGGGGCCCTGGAGCAGCAGGGCTGTGAGATACACGGGGCGGTTCACACCTCTGCGAGTGGCCGGCTCAGGCTCTCGACAGACTCTGGCAGCGTCACATGGGGGGGGGGGCCTTTCTCCCCGACCGCAAGGGCTAGGAACGGACTTTTTTCAGCCCCCGAAAGCTGAGCTTCTGGCGCATTCGTGTTCTTTTTTCCCTCCCCCCGGCAGGTATGGGGACATGGTTCCCAGCACGATCGCCGGGAAGATCTTCGGCTCCATCTGCTCGCTGAGCGGGGTGCTGGTCATCGCGCTGCCGGTGCCCGTCATCGTCTCCAACTTCAGCCGCATCTACCACCAGAACCAGCGGGCGGACAAACGCCGGGCGCAGCAGGTCCGGGGGGGGGATGCGGGGAGGGGAGAGTGAGCCAGGGTGGAGGGGGGTTGTGGGGCTGAGATGCAGAGGAGGGCTGGGGGGTCGGAAGGGGAGCTGGGGGGGAGGTTTGTGTCTGTGTCTCTGACCCTCCCGCCCCCCTGCAGAAGGTTCGCCTGGCACGGATCCGACTGGCTAAGAGCACCACGACCAACGCCTTCCTGCAGTTCAAGCGGATCGGGGGCCTCCAGGTACCTGCCCCTCGCACGCTCGCCCCCCCCCACGCGCGTCCCGTTGCACTAGCAAACACCCATGCACCATGGCAGCACACGCTCGCCCAGTGGTGGGAGAGCACTCACTGCAGACACCATGCACGCTCACCCCCGCACATGCACCCCCCCCAGCGCTGACACCCCCCGTGCACAATCGCACAGCACACTCGCCCTGCCCACAATGATGTTAGCACAGACCCTGTGCACAAACCCCCACTGCCTCAGTGGCACGGACACGACCGTGCACACTCAGCAGGCACCCACGCTGCATGCTCACCGCTCGCACTGTTGCACTAGCTCACTTGTGTGCACACTGGCTGCACATTCACCCTTCACACACTCACACAATTGCAGTAACACTCCCATGCACAATCACAGTGCACACTCACCCTTTACACATGCACACCATTAAACTAACACACATGCACAACACACATTCACCACCACCTTCTTGCACTAAACCCATCATTGTGCAAGTGCAAGGCACACTCATCTCACACTTTGCACACACACCATTGCATTAACGCCAGCACACATGCTCACAGTTCCGTTGGCACCCCCCACATCCCCACACACTGCCCCAGTTGCACTGACACACCTGTGTACAGTCACTGCACACTCACCTCTTGCACCCTCACAGTCCCAATGCACACTGGCTGTACACTCACACACACACACACTAACACACCCTTGCACAATGCCAATGCAGAATCATTGCTCCCACCAGCGCACCATTGCACTAACACCACCGTGCACAATCCCAGTGCACACTCACAACTTGCACGCTTCCCCAGTTGCACTGACACACCCACGCCCAGTCGCACGCCCTCCCAGCCTTACACGTGCACAGGAGTGCAGAACACAGC